AAAAGACAAATTATCAGCCAGAATAACAAATGCCTATTTCATGTCAGTTTCTGTTTTAAAGTTATTCCCACAACGGGGTTCATTTGTCAAGAAAATTCAAATTACGATTGAGTTTTTATAATACCTTAGGGTGGCATTTGTAATTTTAACCGATAGTTGGATTCTCTTTATTGTTAGTTATTTTTATAGACAATTTTTTTGTAAATAAGCCGAACCTTAGCGGTAGTATCTATACTTATATAATAAGAATTAACCTTTTTCAAAATTAGTAGGTCAATTCTTAGTCAACATCTTGTCTGCATTAAATGTTTACTAAAATTAGTAACTTTTATGTCCTTTTCACACTTTTTCTTTATGTCCTTTTCACACTAGATTATATAAATGAACGGATATTATCTCACCTTTCATTAATCTCACCTATAATTCATGTGAATTGATTGATTGCCTTTAACTTTTCAAAACGTGTGCTATCCATTGTTTATTACTATTATTATTATAGTATGCACGTAATCAGTTGATTAAATAAATTATATATATTATTATTATTATTATACTCACCACGTGACAGTTAATTAAAATATATCTATACTTATATTAAAAGGTATATCATTTACCAGATTTAATATAAAAAAAAGTCAACAACATTTATTGCATTACTATTTCCGTATTATACAATCTATACTTATAGAAAAAGATTCTATTTACTATATTTACTATCCAGAAAAGTCAACGGCATTAAATGTCATTACTATTTTGGTATTATAATATTTTATTTATTTAATTGTTTTATTTATTTGTTTTATTTTAAAAAGGTAAGTATAATAAAAAGATTTTAATAATAAAAAAATCAAATACCAAATAAAAATGTACACTTTGACTTATTTGATTATATTTGGTATTTGATTATACCAAATATATTCCTATTTAGTATATACATTAAATACTTACTAAAGTATTTGTTTGTTTTATTTGTCAAAGTTAAGTATAGATTTGTTTATATTATCAAATCATAAAAAAATATTAAATCCATATTGTAAAAAAAAAAATCATATAATTTTATAACAATTCTACTACACTATTTAACAATATTTTTTTTATTATATAATAAAATAATAATTAAATATTATATGGTGAACAACAATAAGTAAAACTGTTACTTTCTCTTATATCAAGGGATAAATTTATATGCTAAAATTAAATTTTTATTAGTATAAATGTTTTAGTGAGATAATATATTAATTATTTTACAAGCTAGCCCTAACATGCTCATATTTAATGTTTTAAAAGATGTAGAAAAAAAACTTATAATAACTCTATTGTTTTTTAGACTTAAACGTTGATTAAAAGAGGTAAAAATTCCTAATTTTTTAGACTTAAACGTTGATTAACACCATAGATTGAGAGTTTATATTTAGTAAAATTCCTAATTGTAATAAAAAAATTAATTTTTGCTATATTTTAGAATATCTTTAAATTCATTATAAAAAAAAAAAAAAAAAAAACTACAATGAAAAAAGCAAGTCAGCTATATATCGATTTGTTGTACTCCTCAAATCACATTCACAATTTGGCTACAAGGAAAGGAAACTCATTGATTAAAATATTATTTTGTCAGTAGTCTTAATGTACAAGAGACTTTAAGACTCCACTTGAATATTATAAAACTTTTATTGAACATTGTACAATTTTCTTGCGTATTATAAACTTTTATTGAATATTGCATCTTATAATATAATATTCTCTAAATAAATATATCTCGTGCTTTGCACGGGTCACGTACTATATATATTCCGTACATCTTTCTTTATTCATGTATATAATTATAAGCCTAGATAAATAGCCTTAAAAATGTACATCCCGTGCATCGACGGGCTCTGTACTAGTTTGTTATTATCCTATTTGTTATTATATTTCAGACTTCTTATACCTAAGCCTTTCAGATGGTCTTGCATGTGAACATATCTGTCTTGAGTTGCAATTTTTTTGTGCTAGCTAGTTGTGAAGATTTGCCATATATTACCAGAAATATTTCCTTGCAGTGTAATTTCTGTTATTACTCTTTGCTATGGAAGTAGGCCTAATGAACAATTAATTCTTACAGCTGTACAATTCCTCATAAGGAAGCGGCTCTCACCTGTTGTGATGAAGTCGATCCTGTTGCCAAGGTAGTTAAATTTCATCTTTAGCCCATTAACTACAATAATCAATTTATTTAACCCGCACTACTGTAATATATCCGCATCTAAAATTAGTTCTTGATATTTACCAGTCGATAGGGGCAGTTAATTGTGTCATCAGGAAGCCTAATGATGGGAAGCTGTTCGGTTGTAATACAGACTACATTGGTGCAATTTCTTCCATTGAGAGTGGCCTACAAGGTTTCTTCTATAGCTTTTTCTTGGATTAATTACAAATGTTACCCTTTATGTTGTGTCTAACTATGAAACATCTGCTGAAATGCTAACAAATAATAACCCATGTAAGAGGGAGGTATTTGTTACATAGTGGTTATAAATTGTACTGTTTTTTTATTGGAATTTTTTGTAACCGGACTAAACCTTAGTGGCTCGTTTTGCGAATTACCATTTTTTTTTTTTCTCTTTTAGTTTGCCACATCCAAATGAGTCCATTGAAGTTGTTAAATAGGATCTTTTTTTATTTGTTCACAGGGTCACCTTTGGCGGGAAAGCTGTTTATAGTGATTGGTGCTGGAGGTGCGGGCAAGGCACTTGCTTATGGTGCTAAAGAAAAGGGTGCTAAAGTTGTCATTGCTAACCGTACTTATGGTATAATTCTCTCCTTTCTCCTCTCTCTCCAATTTCTTAATCTTTTTATGGTTCTGATT